GGTGTAGTCTGGATCTAAACAAGTTCCTACCCTAACACAGCTCCTTTTTGTAGGTGTTTATCTATTGCCTCCGATACACACTATGATACGGTGCTTTAGAGGAAGAATGAATCCACTCTCTATGCAGCTGTGACCATCACGTACCAGCCAAGCATGCTGTACTGTGTTCTGCAACAAACAGCTGTGAACATCTAGACTACTGCATTTAATCTATGCTAGGATTGTTTGCATGTGACATGAGTGTGTGACATTCTGAAAAGGGCTTCTAGGGATAAAGTTTATGATCAATACAGAATATGTATGAATGTTCACCCAATTTGACTATTGAACTGCCTGCATAATGTCACTCTTTTGGAAAATAACTATGGTCACAGACTTCCGTTGTCACCTGAAGCATACTGAGGGCTGGGGATTTCTTTAACTACATGTACACTTTAAGCAGCAGCTGATGCTGTCTTGCCTCACTGATGGTTTAGGAAACACTGGCTCATCACTGAGGTAAACAACTAGCAGCCTGACACAAAAATAATTTAAGTTAATAAAAGTCTTTCTGTTTGTTTTAATGGGTTTTAAATAAGGCAAAGACCAACTACATCCATGCAAGCTTGAAACCTCAGAACTAACTAAACTTCCCAAAGTATCTTCTCCAAATATTTACTAGATCTTAATATTAACACTTCTGGATTTTTCACACGTTCCCTGGCTTGTTTGTTCCAAAATTTTAGTCAGTACCATGGAAAGGGTCTTTCCAGGACCCTCAAGCCAAGATTTTCAAAATATAGGAACCTAAAGTTGACTTTCAGTGGGTGTTAAACATCTAAGTTATTTAGATCCTTTTAAAAACCCCAATTTTAGATGTCTCTTTGGATCTCTTTTTTTTAACTTGCCTAACTTATTAAATAATTAACTTCATTAACTATCAATATTAAATAGCATGATAATTGTATATAATAAAATTACATTTAGAGCACCATAAACCTTCTCAGGATTTTGCAATATCCTGTTAAATACACTCTCTGTCCCAAAAATATAGTCCACAGTGATGTGCTTCAGAAGACCAATCAAAGTCCAGATTTACAAAATAAGAGGTCAGCTCAGTCCCAGACCAGCTCTATATTTGTGTCTACCACTTGGAGTGGTAAAATTCAAATAAAGTTAATACGCTTCTTGGCAGGAGAAACAGATTGGCTTATTCTTTCTCTCATTCACGTCTTTGTTTTTCCAGAAGTATATAGTATTAAGAGAGTAAATCAGGAAACTAATGGAAATTTTTTCAGGTATTTTTGTTTTAAAATGTCTCACTTTTCAATAAAAATAGGAATCTTTTCATGAGGATTTTTTGTTGTTGTTTGTATTGAAAGGCCACTACTTTTAGGGAATTAGATAAAAATGTGACTATGTGATGCGTTGGATCATAAACTCCTCATGGGGTTGATACCCAGTCTAATCAACTCACTGAGCCCTCCTTCCTGCTCTCTGGGACTCGTACCACCTTGTCCTCCTATAAGCTCTTGTTTCCATCAGCCAATGCACGGATCAGCTCTGGGAGGGCTCAGCTATAAGGCTGCTGATAGCACCCAGGAAACCAACCCCCAAATGGGACCAAACCCCCAAATAAATCTGTCTTACTCTGTGTAAATGTTTTACATTGAGAAAGCTCCTAAAGATATTTGTCCCCTTTAACAATGGAAGAGAGATATGCACAGTGGTTGGTCCCCTTGTAACAATTATTTACACTGGACTTAATAATAAACAAACCTCGTGTATTAAGTATAAAAAGGAAGTTTTAAGTGATTACAAGTGAAAACAGATAAAAGTAAGTTACCGAGTTAAAATAAACAAAAGACTCCAGCTGATTCTGACACACTAAGAAACTTGTAATGTGCAAATTCTTACCCTAAACCAGGGGTTCTCAAACTTTGTGATACCACGACCCCCTAAAATGTTAAATGAATTTGTGTGATCCCCAGCTTCCACCCTCACTGCCCTGGGTCTCTTCCTCCCCACTTATCACCAGACTCCTTGCCCTCCTGGGGTTCCTTCAAGGCATTTGCGGTCCCTTCTGCCCTTCCTCCCTGCAGGCTCCTCCCCCCCCATCTCTTTCTCCTCTGTGCCTCTTTTCTGCTCCGTGTCCCTTTGGGGTTTCCCCCCCTCCTCTCCTCTGCCTCCTCCTCTGACCCCCATGTGCCCTTATTTACCTCTGGGTCCTCTGCCCTAACCCTATCCCCCAGCCTGCTGTCTGAGGGACCCTGCCCTCTCCCAGCTGGAGAAGCATTCAGTCACCCAGCAACCATGCCCCAGCTGGCCCTTTGCGCATCTGCTCCTGCCCCGGCGCTGGCCTCACTCTCCCGCTGCCTAGCCTCCTCCTGCAGTTGAGCTGCACTCCTGGAGTCCCGCAGCCCCAGCAATGCTGCACGGCTTGCCGGCAGCTGCCTTCCGCCACCTTGCCGCTCTTCGTGGCCCGGGAGAGGGGGTCACAAGTGAAAAACCGAATCCAGCTGCAACCCCCCCCCCCAAGTTGCTTGCGACCCCTCTGGTTCTTTATGTGTATCCTCTTAGGCGAGGTGAGGCAGTTTTGAAAGCCATCTGAATACAAAGATCTGATTGCTTCTATTCCTTGGGCCTTCCTCCCGGTCAGTCTCCCCATCTGCATGAAAAAGTATCAGATTCAAGATGGATTCCAGTACCAAGTGGCACAGTCACATGTCTTTCTAGGACCAACAACAGTTTGGGCTTAAAGGAAAAATAAAACCATTCGCAGGTTGGAGGTTTTAGTATTGAACCATTAAGTTCCTAAAGTATCACTAATGACCCTCATTAGCACATTTAGAATTAAAAACAGAGTCACACTTCATATTTCTAACTTCACATACTTGCAGAAAAATAGGATGTACAGATTGAGCAGATGGTAACTTAAAAAATTATGTTACATGGCCTGTTTTGCATAAAGCATCTTTGAGTTATGCATATTCACAAACTAATTTTCTTCAAGAATGGAGGGGACATGACAGACTGGTTCTAGAAATCTGTATTAGAGAGCTGGCCAGGTAAAGGTCAGTCTATATAGCCACTAATTACTGTCTCATGACAGGTTGCTAACAGTTCATCTCTTCCTTTACGCCCATGGTCACCAACCGGTTGATCGTGGTGGCTCCGTAAGTTGATCATGAACTGTGCGGCTGTGCACAATTAAGTTTTTAGATCAGCTCTTATTTTCAGAGCAGCACCCAGAGATCAGAAGGTGCAATCTTTGTTCCCCTTGGTGGGATCTGCTGGGGTGACGTCGGAAGGCTGAACACTCTGGACAGCTGGGCTGGATCAAAGAGGGGCAGCCACCCGGCTGGGACATTCAGCCTGGGAAGGCCCCACCTGACTCCAGCTGGAGCAAAGAGGGCAGCCACCCAGCCAGCAGGAGTGCAACGCAGCCTCCCCCGGGTGAACGTGGTGCAGCTGGGCTGAAGCAAAGAGGAGCGGCTGCCCGGCCAGCTGGCCATGGGGTTCAGCCCGCCGAGGCTGCACTGCAGGGGCTGGGTTAGCTGATTGCAATGGTGCTTTTGAGCTAAATAGCCATGAAGCGATTCACTTTCAAGTGACACAAACCACGAGCTGCTTCTTCCCCTGCCTGTTAACTGTTGGGACTCCCTGAGTGCAGTCAAAGCTCTTCATGACACAAACCCCAATGCTGCATCGTCCCTTCGTGTCTCCATTTCCGTCTCCTTCACTGCAGTTGTTTGTCTTTATCGACATGACCCAATGCCTGGGGTCTCTCCACCACTTTCCCCACTGGCTCTATCCGCATGCAAGATATTCATTAATTAGTATTGCAGGAAGGAATCGCCTTCTCTACTGGCGGCATCTGTGCCACTGCTGGAGCGCACCAGACCCTGCTAAACCGGCACATTGCACTCAGTGGAAAGGCTTTTCCTACAGCCCTGTGACCTCCCCATTCCATCCCACACATGACGACGTGTTGCAGGCTGCTCCGCCAGACAATGCGTCCTGCCTTAGATATCTCTTTATCATCTTATAGCCGCTGGGTGCAACCCGCATGCAAATCCCTGCCCAGGCCTTGCTGTTTAAATACAAACCCCCAGATTCAAGGAGCCTCGGTCTCTCCCCAGCCACAGATCTGCCCGGCCCTGCCCACTAGGGAGTTTCCCTCAGTGCATGGGAATGAGAATGGAAGGGCTGGAGTGGATGGGGTACACGTACCCATATAATGGAAATACACGCGCTGCTCCATCTTTCCAAGGCCAAGTCACCATATATGGGAGCAAAGAGAGGCTACCCAACCAGCTGGAGCATGGTGCAGCCTTGGCAGGCTGAATGCTATGGCCAGCTGGTCAGGTAGCTGCCCCTCTATGCTCCAGCTGGAGCCAGGACACAGTGAAGCTGTCCCTGCTGGATTCCAGCTCCAGCAGACCATACCATTTTGACTAGTGTGCACAAAAAAATTATGAACATTTTAAATCCAAGCAGCAGTAAAAGCTGTCTTCAGTCTGACCCTGACAATACTATCACCACGCTGTACCAAAACACAAATATCACACATCTGGTAGTTAGTGCTATCTTGCTTTTTATTTTAGCTATAATGTCCCTGGCTGGTGATAACGATGAGTGGCCAGCTTGGGCCACCTAAGAAGTCGAAAATGTACAACTTCCACGTAGAATGGGAAAATGAATTTCTGTTCACAAATGTAAAAGATAAGAGTGTATACCTTATATGTAATCAAAGTTTATCACTAAGTAAAAGGGGTAATTTAGAACGACACCACACAACAGTATATAGTCAATTCAAGGACAGTTTTCTCTTGAACAGTATGCTTCGTACAACGAAAGTTAACATACTGAAGGCCATTTTGAAAGCTCGACAGTCATTCTTTCAACCAGCAGCAAAAGGCAAGGCCTGCACTGAAGCATCATTTCGCATTTGCCACCTGCTGGCAAAACATTCACAGATGGCAAAGTAATTAAAGAAGCAACGACTGTGGCCACTGACTCTTTATTCAAAGATTTTAAAAACAAAGAAGAAATAATGTTAGCAATTCAGAGCATGTCACTTGATGCTTCCGCAGTAGCAACACGAGTGGAATCTTTGTCTGAAGACGTCTTTTAGCAACTATAGCAGGACCTGAAGGACTGCAAATGCTTATCCCTGCAGTTCGATGAATCTGTCGACATGACTTACAGAGTCCAGCTGATTGTTTTTGTGTACATGGTTTTTAAGGATATGGCAACTAAGGAGGATCTTCTCACCCTTTTGCCCCTTAAAGAGAGAACAAGAGATGAGGATATATACAATGAATTCAAAAGGTATGTGCTCGAGAAAAACATTCCAGTTAAGAAACTGGTTTCCATCACAACGGATGGTGCATCAGCCATGCTTGGTGCAAATGTTGGCTTTGTCGCATTTTGCAGAAATGATCCTGATTACCCTCCTTTTGTCAATTATCACTGTATAATCCCCCCGCAAGTATTAGTGAGTGAAGTTATGGACTTCTCTCATGTAATGAAAGCTGTTAAGATTGTAAACGCGATTCGAGCAAGACCCTTTCAACATCGCCTATTTAAATTCTTACTTGACAAACTCAATGTTGCCCACAGTGAACTAATCCTCCATGCTGATGTGAGGCAGTTAAGTCGAGGGAAGATCCTGCAAAGATTTTTAGATCTGATGCCTGAAATCAACTTTTCTTAAATCAAGGACTGAAGTGTGAAGTGAGTTGTCAGACAGTGCATGGTTGCTAGACTTCGGGTTCTTTACAGATATAACATCAAAACTGAACAAGTTGAACTGTGAACTACAGGGAAAGGACAGAGACTTAGCACATATGATCAGTGCTGTGAATGCATTCAGTTTGAAACTGGGCCTGTGGTCCTCCCAATTAAAGGATAAAATGCTACATCACTTCCCGAGTCTAGAGAGAATACTAGAAGAAATCAAAGAGAAAGAAAAATGGTTCCACCAAGAAAACTTTGTGCACACCTGAGGAAATTAGCAGAGGAAGTCAACGGGCAAGTTCAGGAATTATATGTGACGGAACAAATTGTCATGTTTGTCTTGAATCCATTCCTTCTGGTAGAAAACATTGGCAGGTTGGCTACCAACTTCCATTAGGTGTTTGATTTACAAAGCAGTGGAGTTGATATGGAAATAATGATATGCAAATTGATATTGAGCTGAAAGTCAGAGCAAGGGACAGTGATTTTGGGGGACTTGTAAACAGAGAAAAGTACCTGCTTCTATCATCTTGTGCTTTCAAAAGGCTTACTTTGGCTCCACATACCTCTGAGAGACAGCATTCTCCCAAATGAAGATAATCCAGTCCAAGCATCACATCCGCCTCACAGATGCCCATCTGATGGACTGTATACGACTAGCAATCTCAAACTACAACCCAGACTTCAAGGCACTGGCAGATAATGTTGTCACAGGTGTGTCACTGAGACTTGGTGAATAGAGGACAAAATGTATAATTAAATACTTGATTTAAGATTTACATAGCATACATTTAAAATAGACTGTTTATCTACAACATTATCTTAGGGTAGATCTTGGGTTGCACATAAATTCAAAAAGTGATCTTGGGCTGAAAAAGATTGGTGACCACTGCTTTACACTCACTGTTTGAAATCTAGTCTATTCACAATAGCATGTCTGTGACTAATACATAGTTTTCTTAGGAAGAGCAGGACTGTGGCAGTACTGCAAAATAGAAAACCTGGAGTCCCAAATGATCAACCTCACTCTGTTCTTCCATCTTGAACAAGCAGATACAACATGTATCATGTGGTGCAAGGGCAAATTTTAATTTCCTGGGAGCAGTTTGTTTTACCGCATCTGACAGTTTTGTATCTTCATCAGACCATTGATCAGTGCATTACTAGGTCTCTCTACCCACACCTGTTATGTTAATTGATTATATTGTGTGTAATAGCAAAGCCCCATCACCCTAAGGAGATCAGAGGTATTCTGTGGATTAGAACTGATGGATGAACCAACTGGACTGCAAATTACCAGCTATTTCCTCTGCAATTCTCTGAATTTTGTGAAATTTTCTCATTCTACCACTTCTTGCTTTCTTAGCAAGGTCTATGAAGCCCTTGCTACGAAACTAACAATCTCCTTAATATGCCCCATAACAATAAAAAAGCATCTCAAAATCCCTTTCTATCTATTCCTTGTTGATACCTTTAGGGTAGTATTTTGATACCTGCTGTGAATTAAGGCCAAAATTAAGTCATCTCTGTTTCTCCAGCCTCCTCCTTAATTATAAACCCCTTATAGTGACTTGTAATTAGGTCAGCCATGCAAAGCAGAATAATGTCACAGTAATGGATAACATTTTCTAATGATCCCTGTTTCATTGCTGAGCTGCAAAGAATACTACTGTCTTTTTCTAAGTAATTTTCTAAACAGAACCCTTAAGACATGATGCAAAACCTTGCTGAGAGATGGGTTTGCTCCAACTGCACTTGTTTCCTCTCCTTCCCCTTACTGTCAGTCTGATTAATTTTCTGTTCTAAGAGCTAAGCTTCAGCTTTCGACCTATTCAGATCAATATTGGGAAGAAAGAGAAAATGAAAGAAAGAAGTAGAATTTTTCCAGCTCCCTGCTAGAACCAAGGGCAGTTGACTTGTTTGTTTGTTTAATTTTGAAAGCTGATCAAAGGTTGGTTGAATTTCTGAAGCTGAGATTTCACATTTTCAGTTAATATTTAGGGGATGATTCCCCACTGTATTACTCCAGTTTTACACTCATGTAAGTCCACTGATTTAGAATGGAGTTACTTTTGTATTATACTGGTGTAGCTGCCTATCCACGGAACTTACATGGCACCCATTATCAGAATGTTTTAGCATCTCAAACTCATTAATGTGTTTTTCCTCACCAACCTCAGGGGGCAAAGGGGATAGTTACCCTGGGGCCTGGAGATTCAAAGGGGCCTGAGGCTCCAGCCACTGCTGCTGCTGCAGTCACAGCGATGGCACCTGAAGACCCAGGCTCATTAAATTGCTGCCAGAGCACTGCACCGCACACTCTGAGCAATGCTAAGGGGAGGGAGCACACCACACTCTGGGCAAAAATTGCTGCCAGAGCACTGCACCGCACGCTCTGAGCAATGCTAAGGGGGGGGGAGGGGAGAGGGAGCACACCACACTCTGGGCAGGCTGAGGGTTACCTGGGGGCCAGAGTGGTGCCTTCCGGGATGTGCTGAGGGCTGGATGCCCCTACCCCTACCCATTGCAGAGCCTGTTGGCTCTCCGCCCCTGCGAGTTGGGGAAGTGTTTTTATCCCCATGTTACAGAAGGCAATACTTGTCCAAGGTCACACAAGAAGTCTGGGTCAGAGTAAAGAAATGAACCCAGGTTTCTGGCTAGTGCCTTAGCCATACACAGCAGTGGGGGGAACAAGTGGGGTAATTGCCCCAGGCTCCCACTGTCATAGTAGCAGTGGTGGCTGGAGCCCCGAGCCCTTTAAATTGATGCTAGAGTGCTGTGCATTGCACTGAGGACAGCAGGGGGGAGAGGGGTGGTGCGGTCCTGAGCATGGGCTGTCTCTTTCTCATCCATCCCACCTTCTGGGAGCACAGAGTTGCCCTCCTCCTCCACCTTGCCCAGGGTCCTGGCGAGTCTGTCGGCTCCCCAACCTTCTCTGGATTACATGGTGTTAAGTTAGATTGTTTCAACAAAACACCTCAGAGCTGGTCAAAAACTGTGAACTATTTCGGTAAATCTTTGTATCAAAAGACTTAGAGCTAGAGCTAGCCAAATACTTCAAGTTTAAAAATGTTAGTGCATAAAAACAAAAAGACCTTGGCTCATAATGATGTCACATAGAAGAGAATGTAGGAATAATTATTCAGCACAATTCCTGGGTTCGTCATGTAACTAAAATCAATTGTAATGGAAACCAAACAGGTAATGCTCTGTATATTGTACTGAATATATTATACCTCTTAGTACTAATCCCAGAAACAGTTGCAGTCCTTTCCATGGACAGTGTTTAAAAAACACCCTCCCTAGATTTGTAGGAACACTCTATTCCAGGCAATACAAGAAATGCAGTTCAAATTCCTCTTATCTATATTTGAATTTCATTAATAGATCTGAGGGAGCCCTCTACTTATTTGGCTTTATTAGTTAACCCACTTAGCCTGGTGTGACAGCGCATCGGGGTTCCCCTGACTCCTGCACCCCCGTAACGGCACAAACAGACTCTACCAGCCAGTAGAATAGAGGGAGTTTATTGCTTCTCCAGGATACAGCACCTCATAGATGCAATCTGGTTACAGGGCAGGCCTAGGATGCCTGAGCCCCCCCTTGAAATGGGGGACACTGGGCCCCTAAATACCAGCCCATTGCTTAGGTTGGGGGGACACTGGGACCAGACAGAAAACTAAAAACCTCTCTTCCAGCCCTGCCCCCCAGCCAGGTGCTGGTCTCCGCCCTCCTTCCTTTGTCTCCCTCCCTGGGAGGCTGAGCCTGGGTGTCTGGGTTAATACACATTTGGGAAAGTCAATAAGAATCTCCCATCACAGCACAGGGGGACCCTGGGTCACAGATCAGACACCACCCCCACTGCGCCATACCTGGGAAGAGTTCCTATGTTTGCACCACAACAATGGAAAGTAGCTTGTCTGGTAAGACCCTCCCCTCCCTACCTGGACATGTCTTCTTTGTAGGTGGAAGATGCCATGATGGATGTGTATGATTCTGTGTACGAGGAAGTGAGGAGGAACGTATCCAGCTTCAGGCGGCAGGAACTAGCTGCTATCCATGAAACAGTAAGTCGCTTTGCTTCCACTCTTGATATATCCAGGCTCAAGATATGTTGTCCTTCACCGTCTTTACATTGCCTTCAGTTAGCTTTGGATCAGAGCTATATTTTCTGTTGTCTGAACTGCACAAATACCACAGTGGTGGGATTTTTTTCCCCCTTCAATCAGAACACAGGCGGCAGGAACTAGCTGCTATCCATGAAACAGTAAGTCGCTTTGCTTCCACTCTTGATATATCCAGGCTCAAGATATGTTGTCCTTCACCGTCTTTACATTGCCTTCAGTTAGCTTTGGATCAGAGCTATATTTTCTGTTGTCTGAACTGCACAAATACCACAGTGGTGGGATTTTTTTCCCCCTTCAATCAGAACATTCCT